ATATCTGAGGCAACCGTTTTGAGGCGACTATGATCTTTTAGACAAGAGGGCAACCTCTAAAGTGACCTATACTCAATGACCGTGTACGAAGGCAACCAAGTGAGGTGTACCCTAAGAGTGCGCATGTGCGAGTGTGTTGTTTTCAGTCATTTTTATCTTTGTACATGTTAAGGGTGATCTAAGTTGATTTTAGGTTAAAACATTCAGTCTTGTCATGCCATCCTATTATCAAACATCTAACAATCATAATTTGCGGAAATAAAATGCAAAATTTAAATTACAAGGCGTCGGGTATTTACATCGCCAAAGACAAATCCTTTTAAAAATAAATAAAGCGATAAAAATAAATAAAAGTCTTATTTACTATTACAATCCGAAGGCAAGTACATTATATGATAAAAGAAAGTAAATCGCGTGCGGGAAATTAAGTCGAGCGCATGATTAGGGTTTTGACCCTTTTGGTTAAAGAAAGAATCTTTTTGTTTTTTTATTTTATTTTAAGAAAGAAATAAATCCTAAATAAATTACTAAATTGAATTAATAAATTAATTAATAAAAACAAATTATTTTGGGGTTTTTGTTATTTTAAGAAAGAAAAATAAAATAATTGAATTAATAATTAGAACCTAATTAAATCTAGTTAATTTTAATTATTAGCAAAATAGGTTAAAATTATTCTAGAATTAAAACCTAAATTAATTAATTAGTATTTATTAATAAAAAATAAAAGTTAAAATTTAATTGAATAAAAATATTTTTGGTGATTTTATTTTATAAAAGACTGAATTTTAATTGGTTAGCAAATCAAATGAAAATAATAAAACAATTAATAAAATAAACAAAATAAATAAAAAAGAGGGAGTATGGGCCTGAAATTGGGAGTATGAACAGCAGTCCTGAGGCCCAAAAATGCTGGCCTTTATTGACCTTTTGAGATCTGGTGGGCGTGCGTAGACCTTGCATATGGTGGACCCTCGGCCTTGGACTCTCAGATTTGGCCTTTGGCCATCTGGCCATTGGATGAGTGAGGATGCATGGTGTTCTGCAAGCCTAAGCGCGCATAGGAGTACCTGAAGGAAAAAAACATTGAGAAAGTGGGGGACCTGGGATTCGAACCCAGGTCCTGATGGATATTTGCACGCTTGCCTTGCCAACGCACCATGTTGTTCTGTTTGTTATATGAATACAAAACAATAATAATAAAACAAAACAACTATTATTGGTCAGAACAAAAAAAAAACGCGCGCGTGGTTTGAATGGGCCAATGATGGGGCGCCACGCATCATCTTCAACCTCATGTCTGTGGCTAAAAAATTTCAGGCCTATACCAACGGACAGAAGTTCGTAGCTATAAGCCAGTCCATCTCCAAAATTTGCTACGAGCCACAAAAATGCATTTCAAGGGCATGGTTATGCTCGTCTCAACCTCCCGGTCCTAACCATGCCCTTCTTGATGGCCAATTGTTCCTGAAAAGAAAACGCCCAAAAAAGCTCCAAGAACCCTAGCTATGGTGTTTTGCATTACAGGTCAGATAAGCAAAATTGAATGATGCACATAGCTTGGAAATGTTGTGAGGATTACAAATATGCAGTTAGTTTGTTCAAATGATGCAAGAATTGAGAGTTACGATTCCAAGAACAGAGCTGGGTTTCGTGACACTTACAGCACGTTTGGGCGTATGAACAAGCTTGCTTTGGATTGGTTTGGCTTGAGTGAATGCCCAGGAAGCGTTTGGGACAGGTCTTGGCTTCTGAATATGCCTCTAGCTATGATTTTGGTTTCAAGCTTTTTAGTGAATTTTTCAACCTTTGTTCTGCCTCTGCCTGCAGCTTCCAACCCTTATCTCGATTGCCTTTGCTTGCTTATGTATTGTGTGGTGTATTAGGGTAGAAATTATGGACTGAATCCTTCCAAATCAATGCACATGATTTTGATTTGATCTCCATTATTAACCTTTCCAAATTTGATTTGATGCAATCTTTTTGTACATGTTTTGCTTTGATACGAATTCCATAGTGTTGCTAGCTGTAAACAAAGCCTAAAACAATCAATAAATCAAGAGTTTTTAATTATTTGGATTTTCTATGATTTTATTTGATTTAAAATGAATAAATTCAATAAAAAATCAAATTAAATGATTAAAATGAAATATGAGCTCATAGCTGAAGCTAGGACACGTGTGCAATGATGCAAGCTCAAATCAAGTGTAAAAGAATGGGCCCATTTGACAAAATTTGAAGTTTTGGGGATAGTTGACTTTTGGCAATTTTGCAAAAATGTCCAACTTCAACAATGCATAACTTCTTCAATTTTGAACTTTTGGAGGTGTTCTGGGACTTTTTAGAAAGCTTGAGATGTCCTCTAATAAACTCTTTTGGTCTCATCTCATTTTGATATTTCATACTCAAGTTATAAGCTTTGGAAAAAAAAAGGTGTTTTTGTTTACTTTCAAAAGTGACCTATAATGTCCAAATTTATAATTTCTTGTGAGTGAATTTTTTGATCTTGGGGTATGAAGATGGATGATAGGAAATTTCATCCTCTTCAAAATGAGCTTTGGATGGGTCATTTTGCATAAAGTATGAGAAAGTTATGCTTGGTCAAAGTTGAGTTGACTTTTCCTACAAAACTCTAATTTAGCAACTTTTGAATCTTGATGAATTTTGAGAAATCCTTGATGAATCATGATCAACCCTTGATCAAATGATGAAATATCCTTCCAAATGAGAATGTTGACAAAAATCTTGAAGTTTGACTGTCCGTAGGTCATAGTTGACTTTTGCCCTAGCATAGTCGATTTTTGGACCTTTGAGCAATTGACTGAGCAAAATTCCTCTGCAAGGCTTGAAATTTGACATGGATGATCTTGATAACATATTAGGACATTGGGGAGCACTTGAGGTCATTTGGACTCAAAGATCTTGATGCAACACAAAACCCTAATTTGGGGTAGACTGCCTTAGGAGATAACTTGTCTGTCCAACTCTTGAGCAAACTTGAGCAACTTGGAGATTCTTCTTGCAATGTTTTGAGGAATATGAGAGGGAAAATTTTGGAGTACAACACCAGAGATAGAGATGTAATTGCATCCTTACTCTATTTAATAGCGAGTAGGCCAAATATCATATTTATTATGTGCATGTATGTTAGATATCATGCATCACCTAATAAATTCCACTTTAAGGCCGTAAAACGTATTTTGAGTTATTTTAAAGAACCACTCAACACGGTATTTGGTATCCTAAAGGTAGTGCTTGTAGCTTAGTAGATTTTCCCGATTCTGATTTTGTGGGGTGCAAGTTAGATAGGAAAAGTACTTGTCACTTATTTAGAAGTTGTTTAGTTTCTTGGCACAATAAGAAGTAGCATAGCGTTGCTCTTTCTACCGTTGATGATGAATATGTAGTCGTTGGTAGTTGTTGTGCACAAATTTAATGACTAAAACAATAATTGTTAGACTATGATTTAAAATTTGATTGCATTTCAATTAAATGTGATAGTATTAGTGCAATTAGGTTCACTAAGAATCTGATACATCATTCACGAACTAAACACATTGAGATCTGACACCAATTTCTTAAATATCGTGTTGAAAAAGAGGATGTTATGTTTGAATACATTGACATTAAAAGTCAGCTTGATGGCATCTTTATAAATCAATTGTTATTAGAACTTTTTCATAAGATATGTAGGAAATTGAAAATCTTAGATTCCTCATGCTTTAAAAAGAATGAGAATTCTCTTAAGTTTCATTTGTTATGCATATTCTGTTTTCACTAACACTATTTTATAGCAAATTATACTTTTGTCAAACTACATCTCTATAACTCTTGTATCTGACTTTATATCATTGTTCTAGATATGTTCATTGATTTGCTTATTACCTTTTTTATTTTATTCATTCATCTCTAACATGTTTTAATTGTTTTTGTTGACATTTAAGTCTTTTAAATGTGTATTATTAATTATGTGTATTTAAGCATTTGCATACTTGTTCATGCATTATTTATGTTGTTAATACATTCTTTTACATATAAATTTTTAATCACTTAATTATATGTTGTCGAATGTTAATGTTGCATATATATTTTGCGTTTTGTTGCATGTATATATTCATGTTTTGTATCCGATCATTGTTATTTTATATTCTTCTTACTTTTTAATCTGAAGTAAATAAGGTGGTAGTCGTATTCCCCTTTGTAAATCTTTAAGTCTTGAATTTTCCGACCAGAATTTGTTTTGGATGTTTAGATTGATCTTAGCCTGAACGTTTTGATTAAAGATTATTTAAAAAAAAAAAATTTGTGATCAATACACTACAGAATCATGAGACAAATATTTGTTACTAATCCATTAAAAAATTGAAACGAAGATTTTCACTAATAAATATTAAAAATAACACCACATATTTAAACTATATTACTTATATTTTATATTGTTTTTCAGTAATAAATTTTTCACTAAGAAAAAGGAACACTATCTAACCATTGTGTATGAGTTACATTTTTTTATACTTTGTTGACTTGAAATTCAAACAGTGATCAACAGTTGGAAAATGAGTATGCATGCATCATTATAAATAAAAGTACTATTTACATGCCTACTACCAATGCTACATTTAATAACCAATGTTAGGACCATTGTGAAAAATCTAAAAAAAATTAATAAAAGGAAGAACATTAATCTGTAATTATAGTATGATCAATGCAATAAACAAGGTTAGTGTTTAGAGGAAAATATACTGACACATTCACAATTCATTTTCATGCAAAATGTATTTTTTTACACTGTTTTAGAAATCTGATACATTATTGCAGAAAGTTAATGTAAATGTAGAAGGAGTAAATGCACCCTGCAAAATATCAACTAACCCTCACACTCTTCCACCTGCTAGTATTTACTTCACTCACTTCAACCATTTTATAAGCACTTCTCCAGACCAACTTATTCTTCATACTTTCTCTCTTTTCTTTGTGAGAGTTCAAAGAAGTTAGTGAAAATGGAGAGAAAAAGAAGCAATGTTGCTTCTGTTACCATGTTTGTAGTGATGGTTGCATTGGTTTCTCAGTACCTTGTTATTGTTTCTGTTATGGCAGACAATGTTAAGAATGAGAAAAATGAGTTCACTCCAGTGGCTCATGCAGAGAGTTCTCCGTCGGGTTTGTCGAGTTCACTATGTAAGTCTCTAACTTTGCTATCTTTGTTGCACTTTTATGTTTAAATGTGTTTACTAATGATGTGATTTTGAAGTTTTATTTGAAAGCTACATAGACTAGTATATCATTTATTACGTTGTTATAGTTGGTTTTTTTATTTTGTTCTCGCATGTTGTGTAATATGCTGTTTTTGATTTGTTGAAGGTGAACATAGTCCACCACCTCATCACTCTGGAGGTGGTTGTGGAAGCATTAGTCCTCCGCCGTCGCATGGTCATGGACATGGCCATAGTCCTCATCATCACGGTCATAAAAAATCACCGCCGTCGTCAGGTAGTGGAAGTTACACTCCAACACCGTCAACTCCCACCCCGTCACCACCCTCAGGTGGTGGAAGTTACACTCCAACACCGTCAACTCCCACCCCGTCACCACCCTCAGGTAGTGGAAGTTACACTCCAACGCCATCAACTCCCACTCCGTCGACACCCTCTGATCCAACACCGTCATCTCCCCCAAATTGTGATCCAACCCCATCATCACCACCTGAGGATGGAAGTTACACTCCAACCCCATCAACTCCTAACCCATCACCGCCATCAGATGGTGGTGGAAGTTACACCCCAACACCAACAACCCCCGACTCTTCACCACCATCTGGCGGTGGAAGTTACACTCCAACCCCATCAACTCCAGACACATCACCACCATCAGATGGTAGTGGAAGTTACACCCCAACACCAACAACTCCCGACACTTCACCACCATCTAGTGGTGGAAGTTACACTCCAACCCCGTCAACTCCCGATACATCACCACCATCAGATGGTAGTGGAAGTTACACCCCAACACCAACAACTCCCGACACTTCACCACCATCTGGTGGTGGAAGTTACACTCCAACTCCATCAACTCCCGACACATCACCACCATCAGATGGTAGTGGAAGTTACACCCCAACACCAACAACTCCCGACCCTTCACCACCATCTGGTGGTGGAAGTTACACTCCAACCCCATCAACTCCTGACACATCACCACCATCAGATGGTGGTGGAAGTTACACTCCAACACCAACAACTCCATCAACACCACCAACTAGCGACTGTGGATCACCGCCACCAGTTGACTCTACAAGCCCAACATCACCATCAAACCCTCCCTCAGGAGGCTACTACAGCTCACCACCACCAGACCCTATAACCCCAACAACACCATCAAACCCTCCCTCAGGAGGTTACTACACCTCACCACCATCAGACCCTATAACCCCAACAACACCATCAAACCCCCCCTCAGGAGGTTACTACACTTCACCACCAACCAGTTACAGCCCTCCAACTTATGGCGGAAGTACCCCAACCGATCCTGGCACCCCCACTTATTCCAGCCCACCAACTTATGGCGGAAGCACCCCAACCGATCCTGGCACCCCCACTTATTCCAGCCCACCAACTTATGGCGGAAGTACCCCCACTTTCTCCACACCACCTTACCTTCCTGCACCATCTCCCACTGGTACATGCAAGTAAGTTCCTTCCACTATACTCCAACGTAACGTAAAACCTTAAGCATGTTTTAGATCCATGCAAATATACATTTTTGGACTTTTAACTGTTAAATAACATTTTCGGACTTTTTTTTCCCTAAAATCTGCAGCTACTGGAATAATCACCCACAACTCATCTGGGGATTACTCGGCTGGTGGGGAACCTTAGGCAGCGCATTCGGTACTTCCAGCGTACCAGGATTAGGATCAAGCCTCAGCCTGCCACAAGCACTTTCCAACACAAGAACTGACGGGCTTGGAGCACTATACAGAGAAGGTGCAGCTTCCTATCTTAACTCCTTGGTGAACAACAAGTTCCCTTACACAACCGAGCAAGTCAGAGACAGATTCATAGCATCACTCGGCTCAAATAAGGTTGCAGCAACACAAGCTAATCTCTTCCGGATGGCTAATGAGGGGAGAATGAAGCCTAGAGCATGACCTTATTAGTTTGTTTTATGTATCAGTTTATCGAGTTCGGTTAAGTATATTATTATATCTAAGACTTCTACTAAGAGTGTTTTGCATTAGGTAATTAATTACTTATCATGTGTTAGTTTACCCTATCATGGATTCAGTGTTAATTAGCTTTTATATATATATATGGTTTCTCAGTTTTGAATAAAGTTAATATTTCGTTGCTTTGCTAGTTCAAGTTATCGATTCAGAAGATTCAAGTACAAATCGTTAGTATACATGAAACAAAGTTAAATTCAACACAGTCTTTCAAAATAAATTTATTATTATCTATAAAGAGCAACCCAGAAAAGTAGAGTCTAGAAAAGATGATTGTTCATGCAAACATGAACATGATTGGGGGGAAACATGCAAACACGGCAATAATATCAACATTTATTGTAAAGGTGTGTAGTATTGTTGTTTCTTAGTGAAATACAATGCAATTGTTTGTGTTTGTTGTGGTCGGTGGTGAATGCGTGTGTGCGTGTGTGTGCAAAAAGAAAACACATGGACGATCCAAAATGCTGCCAAGGTTGCCCTTGCATGAAAGAGTTGAAGGCCCATGTGATCAATTAATGTCATTTTAAGTGCCTTAACAAGAGGTGTACAAGGCTGTCCTTTGGTTCAGAACAATTATAATGGTAGGTAAGCCCTATAAAAAGCGGGTACTAGTCTTCACAAGTAATGCAATTATAAAATTTAACATAAGTTATTACAGTTAAGAAACAACTCTGAGTCAATTTGTCGAATATTCTAATGTTTTTCTCTCGTAAATTTAAAGTAATCAATTCTAAAACCAAACAGATTATAAAGCATTACAAAAAACTTATTGAAACTGATCACAAACATTAATTTTACTCGACATTGAAATGTGCACATAACTGCAAAAAGATGACTAACGTGAAATATAAAGTCTTCCATATGTGGGGACCTGTAAAACATTTGGAAAAATTACTCAAAAACTTTTAAGAGATGAACTTTCCACGACACCCCAATATCAATCCGGATGTAGACAAGACACTTTGGAAACAGATAGATTTTTTTTTAGAAATTTATGGAGTCGTAAAAGTTCTCACTTTTAATACACACACAGACGGACAGACACTCCAAGTTCATGTAAAATGGTATATAATGAAATGGATGAATTGGAATAATGTTCTCATATCATTGTTTGGATGTGTAAATTATAGAAGCTAAGAAGCTGGACAAAAAATTTATTCATTGTTCTAGTGGAATTAAATGAAACAAGAATCACAAGTTTATTGTTCCCATAGGAATTCTAATCAAGTAGTTTATCACGCCTAGCATAGTCAGTGGCAGGCTATGAAGCACGGAAATCTCTAGGATTAAGTGTGTGTGTCGCAGTGTCTGACATATGTATGACATTCGTACGACAATGTGTGGAAAAATTCGGACAAGTGTCCCAAAAATATTCTTTGTTTCAACATTCTTTAAATCGGTGTCTAACACTCATACAATACGTGTCGGACAATAATTCATATGAGTGTCCTAAAAATTGTTTCTTTCGTTGTTTCGACAAACCTTAAACTTGTACATTCCATGGACAAATATCAAATACATCTAAAAGGGTTAATTGTATGTCGAAATAATATTGACCAATGAAGAGTTAAAAACATTAAATTCAATTAGAACATTTTTAACTTTTTCAATAGTAGATGGATAAATGAATGTCAAATATTATCATATATGTGGTGGTGTTTGTCTCCTATGTTTTTTAGATTAGTAGTGTCAACGTGTCCGTGTATGTGTCGTGTCAGGTGTCTGTGTCAGAGTCCGTTCTTCATAGATGGCAGATTAGACTTGTAATTTCAAAAACATATTATGTAGAGTATTCTGAAATACAAATCCACCAAATTTAAAAGATTAACCGTGTCCAAGAACCATTGCTTCAAATCTCAAAAGAAAAATATAGTAGAAAAAGATCAAAATTTTAACAAAATCTAGGATAACTTACAGAAGGCTACTTGCTATAGCATACATGGTTTTGGCACAAAAGGTCAGAGGCATACCTTTTCAATTGATAATAACTTCTGGCAGTATTACATAGTTGAGAAATTCTAGCCCTTGAGATTGAACAAAAAGATAGGTCCTCATTCACTTTGAAATAGGTCCTCATTCACTTTGAATAAAACTGATTTCAACTTTCAATGGAATACATGTCAAAAATGCTATAGATTTTTTACAGTCAAACAGAAATTTAAACACCAAAGAGCATTTTAAAATCTAATCAGCTCATATGAGATTCAAACCATTGAAAAATCCTGTCAGAATGCACACTTGTCATCTCATGGTAAGCAAATGCAAGGTTTAGCTCTTCCTGGACATGAGGAACCAAACGCTCATCAATTGCGAGATTTATCCTCTCCTGAATAACCTTCCGCCAGTTTATTTTCCGTCCGTCTTGCTTCATATATCCATTTCGATCAATCAAGCCCCTTTCCTTAAAGACTTCAAACAATGTTCTAGAAAGATGTCGATCCATACCAGGAATCCTATCGATTAAAGTATCCGGCGACAACGGAAACTCCATACATTCAACAACACCAACATCAATCCCTTTACCTTTCAAAACCTCAACATACTCATCAATTTTCCGCTGTCTATAAAAATCTTTAGGCATGTGAACAAAAAGGGTCGGAGGATAATCCTTTTCAATATCTATCTCTTCAAACATCCCTTCAGCAATCATAAGAACAATACTATTAAACTTCTTAACAGTCGCAAGCAAAGATACAAAATATCCTCCCGACGAAGCACCTAAAGCCACAAGCGAAACTTTCTCAAGCTTCCTCTCACCAATCCACCATTCTAGAATATCTTTAACAATCAACACTTCCTTATTACCATAACTCCAACATCTACGTGCACTTGAAATAGTAATAACAGCAAAACCTTCCGCAAGACCATGAAGTACAAGCAACCGTTCTTCAGGCAAACCGACGCAATCAGGACATTCGGACGATTTGTCCCAAAAGTTAATGGCTTTTCCATTACATCCATGAGCAAGAAAAAGAACACCTTTAGGTGATTCAGGTACTTGCCATATCAAATCTGTTCCATTCCTGAACTCTCTTGTTGGATGCAATTTCACCAAAGAATCAAAACTATTCCACTTTTGCTTATGAGAGTCATAAGCTAAACTTGGTTTTCCTTTTACTATTACTTTTACTTTTACACCATCATTATCATTATCATGAACATTATCAAATACTAAAAAGAGAATCACCAGCATTAGCATCAATGTAAAAGACATAACAAGTACTTGGTTCCTGCAAACGTGAGCACTAGAAGTACTACTCCGTTGCTTTGATTTGTATCCATTATTCAACATAGTGAAAAAAGGGTTTATAAAAAGGGTTTCTATCAGGGAGGGAAAAAGATCAAATTTTGAACAAAATTTCTTGATAGAAGATGAGTAAACTATAAAGGGTCAATGGCATATAATCAAATGGATCATTGAAATGAAAGGGAGATTAGCAAGAATTGGTTTTCCAAAAATATGAATACTCACATGGAATCATGGGGTGAAAATCTGAATTTGATGCTTAATTAGTTGTTTTGTTAGAATCTGAATTGAATTGGATTGGAATTGGATTAATCGCCGAAATGTGTGCTGCAATAGAAGTCTAAGCTTTGCGGTTACTGGATGGATTTGATGTCATGTCTTTGTCACGTGTTTCGAGGAATTTAAGGTAATGTTTGTTTTTGGTGGGCTTTATTGCATTAAGGCCTGAGTTCTAATTGGGTCACATTCACAATTTATTTCTGTCACTCCACGGATTATAGATGGCACCTCCTTCAAAAAGAATTTTTGTTGAAATTGGTCTAATAATTGCAATAAGCGTTTTTTTTTTTTAAATTTTTTTTATGTTTTTACCGAACATTTGGAAAGTTTGGCATCAAATATATTGATTTTTACCGTATATTTTAAAAATTTTAGTATAAATATATTCATATGATGTCTTTTTACCGGATTCTTAAAAAGACTAGTATCAACTATTTTGAAAAATAATTAATTTTTAGAAATGTATGGTATGAGTGTATAGTTTTACCGAATTTTAAAAAAAGATGTATTTCTGATATAAAAGATATATTTGTAACTTTTTTTTTTTAAAATGCGATAATTTTGTAAAGGTGTCATTGAATTTTAAAAAATCTGATAAGCCAATTTTTTTAATGAGAAAGGAAAAAGAGATGGTAAAGTCATATGCGTATTGAACGACATGCCTATTAGAGATGTTGTAGAGATCCCTAGTGGAGATTGTGGAGATGCCAGATAGAGTCTTTTGGCCACTAAGGCGGATAAAGTAGATCCCACTAATTTTCATAATAGAAGGATCAAAGAGTCTTGCATATCATGTACTCTCCAAATTAGAGGAGGTACGGTTGGTCATGATGGCGAGCGTACTCTCATGGGTTAGGTAAACCCAAATGGCGAGGTTATGTTATAACATCGCAGATAGCACACATTATTTGTGGTGGACTAGTTTAGATTTTATGTGTTTGTTGATTGACATTATTTGTTGTATATATGTTTGTGACTTATTGAGAATTTATGTTGTCATGAATTATTTAATGTTGTTATAAATGATTAAACAAGCTTCTAATCAATTAAACCCTATGTATTTAGTATACCCTATTGTTCTTTAAGTACTTTTGTTATCATCAAACTCTAAGGAGTATGTACTCAATTAGTGCGAACAAATTTTGTTCCAACACTATTATCCTTGATCTTCAACAAGATCTTGATCTTCAACCTTTAATGGACTTCAATCTTGATGAATTTGTTGATCTTCACTAAATCTCGAGTTTATAAGCATTGAATCCTTCTTTTCAACATATTGACAAATCTACATAAAAACTCCACGACTATGGAGAAGAGCTCCTTCTATTTTTCCTTCAAAGAACTTCAAATATTTGAATTTCTTCAAGATCAATTCTTACTTGCAAAACTACACACT